ATACGCCAAGGCTATGGGTTTGACCCTTGGTCAGGGCACATACGAGAATCAGCTGGTGAACGCATACATAGGTGGGGCAACAAATAGATGTTTCTCTCTCCCTCTTTCTCCCCCACTCCCTTCTTTCAAATCCATAAATTTTAAAAAATAATAAAAATCAATGAAAATCTTTCAAAAGTTTATAATAATGTTTCTGAATTTTCCAGACACTTTGTTTTTTCCCATGCTATTTCCCTTAGCCATTTTACTGCAGGCAAATGAAAAATCACAGTATCAAATTTTTTGCTACCTTAAATTATTCACGAGTTGCTTTTCTTCATTAAGATTCTATTATAATAGATAATTGAGGATTGATACATTCAATTGACAGTGATGTGTGACTTTCTATCAACTCATTTTGCTACTTTCACATGTATAGTGTACAGATGTTTGTATATTTTTAAATCCCTTTTAAGAACATTTTTTTTAGTAGTGAACATTATATTTATTTGACTTGTTAGTACCATTTCTTTCAATTCGTTGGATTTTTAAAACACTTTTTTAAATGAGTGCCTAAAGAGAATATAAAAATATTTTTTTAATAATGGAGCAGAAATATCCACTACAGAAGATGAATAGACAAAACATGCCTTCCAAAGAAAAATGTGTTATAGGACAGTGTTTAGTCTACACAACACACATCATGATCAGCGGCCAGTAAACAGCCCCAGGCTGATCCTTGCTCACAGCCTGCGCCAGGAACATTCTGTATACTCTTGTGCGCAGGTATTTGCATTTAGTCAAACTTTTGTGGTTTCTTGCTATTCTTTCATATTAGTGATCATTACATCTCAGTACATCAGTCAATGTGGCCCACTTTACATGTATAGTTGCATACTAACTAAAGAACAAGAGGAGATAAAGATTTTGTCCTTCACAGTTTGACCAGTGGATCTGTCTTATTTATTTTCTAAAATCACATGCAGCTGCAGCCCAAGAGCATATTTAACCTAATTTATATCAATTTATATTGCCAGGGCTTAAAATTAATTGGCTTGTTGCAGAATACATGTTTATAGTTTATACTTAACAGAAATTTGGCAAGGTGATAAAGTAACACGATGCAGTTGAAAGCATTACAAGTTGAATTTTGAAAGTGAGGTTCTTCTGAGTAGAAGATGTGCAGCACAGAATAATACATCCACAGCCAAAATCCACCCACTCTTTTCTCTTTGATTAAAAGGAGGAAGAACAGACCTAGGGTGAGTTTTAGCTCCATTACTTACCTACTGCTTTGAAAAGAAATGACAGCATCTGTGAGTTCTGCTGCTGCTTCCAACACAGAGATAGCAGCTCCTCCCTGCAAAGGCAGTGCTGAGAATTCAGTGAGGCAGGGCACGTGTGGTTGCTATGTAAGTGTTACTGATTCTGTGCAGCGTGGGTGAGTTTGTATGCATGTTTGGAAGTTGAGGAAACTGAGGCACCAAGCTGAGGAATGCACAAGCTCAGGCCTGGAGCCACCCTGGCCCTGTGTTTCTGTCTTGCATCTGGGTCTTCCAAGTCCTGCTGTGCCCTTAAGTAGCGCTTTCCTTCCCAGCTTGGTCAAAACCAAGAAACTGTTCGCAGAAAGGAGCTGAAACCATCTTGCAGGCAGATTTTATAAGATGGTTTTACCCCTTGCAGCATTTTCCCATGGAAAATGACACTGGCTCCATGAAGATGAGTAATAACCCTCTGAGGGCAAATGCCAGTCAGACCAGCCAGCTGGCTCTTGGGACATCTTCCTTAAAAACCATGGCCCAGGTTCTGCAGAGGCCAGGAGGTGAATGTGAGTGTCAGAGACCTTCACAGAGAAGCCTGATGCATGTGCTGCCCTGGAAGTGAAGACAAAGACAGGGACACAGATGTGAAGGCTGCTAGCAGAGAGTGGCCATCTCTTAGGTCACCAGAGGCCTTGTTGTTTTTCATTTTTGTTTGTAAAATCCCCCTACAATAATGATCAAGGATCCCCACACAGGGAAATCTTGTAGCATTTTTAACCACTAAAGGAAGGTGTAACATGAAGAGAGATAAGCAGCATTTCAGATACGAGTTTAACATCTCTTCTTCCATGCTCGTTAGTCCTCAAGAAAACTCTCTCTTGTCTCTTAGTTCGTAGCCTCTAAAATTGGTTTCACAAGGTTGCTGTCTTCATCCGTGGACTGTGGTACTGAGGGAATGGAGACTTTCAAAATGAACCTCCAATATTCTTCCAAAATCAATTTCATTTTTTGTGGTATTATTTGTGCTTACATGGGAGCACATTTTTTTCTCTTACAAGGTGGTGAGTTTAACATGTTTTATTTTTCCACTCAGTAGTGCTAAGGAAGAAGCACTTCCCCATATACAGAAGGCACAGGAGAATAGAGAAGCCGTGGGAAGGTACAATATGATGTTTGGGCTCTGTGTTTGTGAGGATACATGTCAGGAACTGATGTAGTCTTAGAAGTGATGTATTAGCCTAACTATGAACTTTGGAATTCACAGAGGTTAATTTAAATATGGTTATGGTTATTTTGCGTTTTCTTAAAGACTCTCATTTGTCTTCAGAGGTTTTTCTTCTAGGCTCTTGAATGAGTAACAGAAATAAAGGCACGAATACCAAGTTGAGTAACAGAAATAAAGGCACAAGTACCAAGTTGCATTTTTAAAATTGACGGCATTTATTAAATGAGAGAGAAGTTTTGAGCTAAAAGCCTTCCTTCTTATGGGGAAGAAATGGCAATGCTTTGGAAAGAAACATAAGTTTTTGATAAAGGGATGAAGAGTTGAAAGGTGCAGGGGTAAGCAAGGGAGTGTGAGGAATAAAGGTGGCAGCAAAGGCAGAGCTGAACCCTAAAAGGATGCTGAGAACCATAAGGAAGCTTTTAGTAATAAGCCCTAGTTACACTGTGTACATCTGAAGGATGGCTGTGGGGATGGCAGTGCATCTCGGCACTGACCCCCAGCCCCTGCCATGGTGAGGACCCAGCCTTTGTGAGAACTGCCTATGCTCTACAGTTCCAGAGCCTGTGCTGCTTAGTGAGCTGATGGGGAAGGGCAAGTGAGGTGCCATTTATCTGGAGACACGACAAAAGCACACACTTTCTCCCTCACTCTCTCTGCAAATGTCTGAGGTCTCACCATTGCCAAGATTCTTAATCATCTTTTAATACGTCTTCCATTTCATGTCTTATCAGAAGGATAATAGCTGCATGCTCCTGACAGGTGAGTATAAATTAAGCGCTAAAGCAGAAGGAAATGGAAAACGAGAAACTTCAACAGTTTTAGTAAAAGTTGAGGCTATGTATGTCTTTTTTTTTTGCCTTTTTCTTTAAAAGGCCCAGTTAGAGAAAAATAATTCAAGAAACAAATATTAGTCAGCTGATTAGGTTCTAAATTGGACAGACTTTGTACCTTGGCACATGAGTAGCTATCCTAGAATCTTTTGAACTTTTGCCACAGAGTAATTCTGAAAAGGCTGACAGAGCCAGTGAGTAGATAATGAGAAAGAGCACAGTGTCCTCTGCTTAAGTAATCAAGCTCCACATTATTCATTTAGGTGGGTAAGGAATCTAGCTCCTAGAGAATGAGAGCATGTACTTTGCAGGATCATTTGAAGATGAACGAGTGGATCACAAATGGTCGGTCACTGGGCTTGACTTTCTCCCAGAATTCACTTGTTTTGAGAATTAGCACAGTGTGGAGGAAATGGCCCAGAATTCATACTTGGGAAAGACCTGTTATTCAGCTCCCCGTTTGAGCACCTTGTAGCTGAGACATTGGAACGATTTCAGAACAGGATTTTTTGCAGATCTATTGGGAAATGTTTGGAGTAAGAGGAGATTAAAATGAGATGCAATCTAGCACTGAGTAGGGGCTTTAAGTCCATCAGTTTCTTTCTACTTCAGTCACAGTTTAGCTTTTTAAATGTAGAATAATCTTCCTTTATATTCTGTTTTCCATGTTGAGTTTTGAGACATTAGTAACTTATTTAAGCTATTCGCTTGATAAAAGGAGCTGTTTGTTAGAGACAGTCCTGTAAGTGCTTTGTAACCTGATGGATTTGTGTGCAAGGGCAGGCAGGGTATGGATGAAGCCCTCCACACCTGGAAGCCCGGAACCTGGGCACTGAACACAGACACAGGCTCCTACAGCTGGCACACTCTGCACATGGCAGATTCTTAAACCATCTGTTTACTGTTTTTTAAACACTACCATAAAGTTCACCTAAGTCAGAGGTTAGCAAAATGAACATAAACCCAGAATTTTGGCACTGCTCAGTGATCCATGCACAGATAAATAACTAGTTTTCTGGAAGAATGCACTACACGATTGTCTTGTGTGTGGAAGTATTAGAGGAGTAAGTGTTAGAGGAGTGTGAGATGGAGGATCCCAGTACAGAGAGCTTAGGGACCCAGAATACTCCCCCCCCCCCCCCCCCAGCCCTGGCAGCTGTGTGCACACACTTTTGAGACAGCCAGAGGCAAGACAAGCAGTTTCCCATCCTGAGGCTCTTAAGGCTGAGGGACTGCAGGCGACATGCTGGGATGTGGCTGTTAACTTAAAAATTTTGCATAAACCCAGCCTCCACTCCCCTGCGAAAGCTCAGTCTTGTCTTTACACCTTCCTCAGGGCGATTTTTTAGGGCGGGGGAGGAAGGGAGAGGAAAGGAGGAAAACGCAGGCAGACTGCACTCGGAACACCGGGAGGAAGCATGCAGTGGATGGACTAGGTACATGTGGGGAGGGGAGACCTCGGCTGGGCTGGAAACGGAAGGGCTGCGCGCGCTGGGCGGCCGCCGGCAGGGGGAGGCCCGGGCCCTGGGGAGCTAGCTCGTGGGTCGCTGCTGTGGCGGGTCCAAGTGCCTGGTGCCCACCATGGCTAGGAGGGCAGCGGTGACGCAACCCGCAGCCCCCTCGGCCTCCCTGCGCGCCTGTCTGCGCCCCTCCCTCCACTCTGCCAACACGCTCGCTCTTTCTCTCCCCTGTGTTTTCAAACAGGAAGTGCACGGCTGTCTGTAACGTGCTGCCGGGTCCCAGGATGGAGGAGTGAAGTCTCCGCGTTGCGGCGGGTTCCAGCCTGCGGAGCCCACCGGAAGCCGAGTCCCTGGAGAGCGCCCTGAGGGAGCAGGGTGGCCGCCTGGTCCAGGTGCGTGGGGCCGGGTCGGGAGTCCCCGGGGCAGGGCGCTGGGCTGTCACTGGCCACCGCCCGCAGAGTGCCGCCAAGCCAGATCTCTAGCTCCACGCTGCAGCCAGACTTCGTACATTTTCTTAGTTGCGCCCCATGTACTGCTTTCTTCCCCAAGGGTCTCTGCCAAACTCTGGCGCCGCGCCGCTGGGGTGCTGAACCTGAGCAGGATCTCTCCCAGCGTGCTAGGCAGGAGGTTTCCAGGCAGGGCTGCCTGTGTCCAGGAGTCCCCGGCCGCCCTCTCCTGCTGCTGCTGCTGCTGCTGCTGCTGCTGCTGCTGCCGCTGTCTGAAGCAGTGGCTCTTTGTTCTTAACACGCTGGCCTGGGTTTATCTACATGAATGTTCTAGGAGGCTTGGGTGTTAGAGTGGTACGTGCGAGTGTGAGGTGGAGTCCTAGGCAGGGGAAGAGGATGAGCGGTAGGTGAAGTGTTAAGGTGGAAAGGAGAGCAAGAGTCTTGGTGTCCTGGCTCAGAAATCCCACTTCTTCAGCCGATGAAACAGAGGAGTCTGCTCTTTGCTTTTTATTTCGGGAGAGCCAGGACATTGGGGACTGAAGGAATTAGTGATGCAGACACACACCGGAAAGGTAGGGACCAAGAATGAGGGACAGCTAGTTCTGAGCTGTTTAGTCTGGTGTCTGGCTTGTTAATTTGAGTTGTGGTTTCTTAGCCAGGCTGCCTTGCCGAGACAGAGAGGGTACTTTAAAGATCTTTATTCATTACATTCCATTTTTCATCAGAGTAGAATTCAGAATGACTTTTTTTTAATTCACTAGGTGATTATAATTTCACGTCCTTACCTTGCTTCATCTCGTAGGTGGAAAACAAAATGCTAGAGCAAAAGGTTGGTTTTATGCACAGACTTTTTGCTGCTTCATTTCCCTGGCAAGTCCTATCTCTACAAAGTCAGGCTGACTTCTCCCCCAGTGAAAGCCCAGCTTGTTTCTCCACTCGTATTTATCTACCTGTTAAAACTCTGGAGAGACACTAGGGAAGGTAGATTGGCTAAGAAAAATCCATTTGATGAGAAAGAAGATTGTCATCAGGCCTCAAATGAAATGTTTGAGCAATGTTGAAGCAAGTAGCACCTTCTTACTCTTTTGTGGTGGAAAGGATGTGAACAAATGACATCGGAAGGAAAGTGAGATTCTACAAAGAAAGGTCTCTTTCTGTAGCAGGGAGGGAAGTAAATAATGACAGTACTGCATGCATTTAGTGCCTTCAGATTATTGGGCTGCCAAGCTTCCTCAGGAAGCAGGGTTAGCTATAATATTTAAATTCATGATGTCAGATGCTTGACTGTACCGTTCTAACTTAAAAGTTTTATAATAAAATATGTTTACTACATAATTAATTTTTCCTTTGAAAGGAAAATCTTTTGTAGTCAGGCAGCCTGGTAAATTTGTACTGTTCCTTCCCTCTTTCTTCCCTGTAAGCAGTGTGGCAATAATTTGAATGATAAGATCCCATTATTCCAATAGTCCTTCAGAACTCTTATCTCTTTTTAAATGCAGCTGCTTTGAGCATTTGTGATAATATCAATAATGGATGATTTGTTAGCAGTAAGTAGCCAAGATGCCCTATGAGAACTCAGCAATTAATTTCATCTCTTTCTAGAAACATAGATGTGCGCTTCTAAATTTTCAGTTTAATTGTAAACTGGTTGTGCTTATGCCTCTTCTTTTACCAAATACATCGTGAGGTAAAAGTGAAAACAAGTCATTAAGAGAAACTCTTGAAAGACCTGAACAGCCATAGTATTTTGCCTCTGTCTTATACCCAGGTATATACCTGCCCCTGTGGTTCATTAATTTATTTGATGACTTTCTTTAGCATGTGTCACTCTGCTTCTAGATAAATAGAACAGCCTTTGTGGCCCTCCCAACCTGTTCTCTGTTTAAGAACAGGATTCACACCTACTCTAGCAGAATTTAACAATAACTAAATAATAACCTAGGAATAATAGTAACTAGTCTATATATTACCATTTTGTATTTATAGAGCACATTTTCTATAGTCATTTGTATTGTGCTACTTCTTAAAACAGTCTGGTGAAATAGGATTTATTTATTTCATTTTATGGAGAGAGGAAACTGAGGTTGAGGAAATGTGACTTATTCATGGTCATATTAGTACATGGAGATGCTGGGACTTGAACAAAAGTCTGATTTTTTTTTTCCTGGCTTCCACAATTCTAATGGCATGTTTTAACTTACAGATATCTTATCCAGGATTTAGTGAACACTATCTCTTAGAAGGGTCAGGTTAGCATATTTTAACTTTTTGTAATTAAAAAAACAACACTTCTAGTTTATCTGTAGGACAGTGTACGTCCCAGAAGAGGGATAAAAAATTAGCAAATGATGACTGTGACGCTCCCTACATCTGCCTACCATACCTATATACTATACCACCACCCATAGATTCCCAGCTCCTCCACCCTAGTTCAGAATAACCCACTGAAAAGCCGATATTACAGAAAGACAGAGGCAAACCCTTGTACACTTAGAATTATATATTAAATACTTTTGTAATATTCCTCAAATGACAAGTTTATCTTTTCTTTGCAGTGCTTAAAGTTGAGGCTTTCTTTACCTAGGGGTTTATGTGGTATTGAGAGGAATATAAATTAAAACTTGGGGTACATTTTCACTGGACTAGAAAGTGCTATATAAAATATTTTCTTCAACAATTGTGTATCTGTAGTGATCTGTAACTTCACCCCTATAAAATTATTTTAAGGCATCAGGAGAAGGAAGAGAAAGTAGGGATGAAGAGAGATACGTTTAATTAACCTTTTTTTTTTAAGTGAGGGATGAGACGACATGTATGTTTTCTTAATACACGGTGCACTGCCATGGCTGTGTGTTTTTGGATGGTTGCAGTAGCTTGTGAACTAAGGATGAAAGGGTAGGTAGCTTTGATGTTAAATGCCAAGGAAAAGTTTATGGCCAAGAGAGGACTAGGAGTGGAGATAACTGTGTTAGGATTTTTATTTTTTCAAATCCCCCTCTTTTTTCTTTGTTTCTATTATAAAATAGGAGTTATCTTCAGTTAGAAATTATAAACTGTAAAGCAGTGGTTTTCAGCCATTACAAAAATTAGGAAGCTTTTATTTACTGCTCAGATTTTGACTTGTTTAGAGTTTTCTTATTTCTGATGATTGCTAATATTTAAGGTCAAAGTAACTAGTTAATATCACCCAGCTGAATGTATATTATAAGTAATGATCACAGCATGTCCTGGACTCATTAAATAAGAGCACATATATGTGTGAGATGCATTTGGTCTACAGACCTCTGCCAGGACCCTGAAGTCCTCAGGTGGAAGTCAGGACCACAGTCAAACAGCTGCTCCAGGCCGAAAATACCAACCTGGTCCTGTAAAACATGCAGTGTGCTACCCATCAGGTTATAAAGATTCCCAGGTGGAAACTTGCCTCTTTGTTGTACATTAAGTACAGGATGTGTAAAGCCTGGTTTCTGGGTTGTTTTTCATGGTTAGCTTGGAGGTCTTACAGTCACTCAGTCATAGGAACTGCATTTCTTCTAAGAGCGTGTTCCCCACAGTGCCTTCAGAGTAGCTCCTCCTTGTGTGTGTGGAGTGAGGACTCTGACACCATTTGCAGAAACATCACTGTCCCAGTTACTGCCACCAGCAGCCTTATTGATTTCCCAGAAGCTAAAATAGGCTTCCCAGCCATATCCTTTTCAATTTTCAATAAATATATGGAAGGAGAGAGAGATTTTATTTCTGTTCTGTAGTGGAAAAAACTGACATGTAGGTTCATGTTGAATCAGTCTCTGGTTTCCGTGCCTGTTGCTCTCAGGGCTTGGGTATTCTGTATAAGAAGGGGTAAGTAGGACACCAAAATCTGTTAGAGTTGGTAGATGATGTTCTTTTTTTTTTTTAGTTAAAAAAATGACTTCCTACCTATTGAACACCTTGTGTATGCTAAACAATTTACATGAATTACCTCTGATCCTTTTAGTATTGCTCAGGGTAGGGAATATCCCCATTTTATAGATGATGAAACTAAGGCAGGCAGTGATTATAACTTTGTTTTGGGGTCTTCTTTTTAAAAACATTTTTAAATTTTATTTTGTAATTTTTAATTACAGGTGACACAATATTTTATCAGTTTCTGGTGTGCACTGTAGTGATTAGACATTTGTATACCTTAGAAAACGATCACCCCAAGAAGGAGATTGCAACTTACCCAAGTCACACGGACTTGGATCTGAGTCTGTCGGTCCCCATATGGAAGCATCACATCTGCGTCTTTCTCTGTCCTTAAGCTCAACTGTAAAGAGAAATGTTAACATTGTGTTTAGTCTTACCTACCTTTTCAGCAAAGGTTCTGTTAAAATTATAGAGAACATGCAGACTTTAGGAATTGAGACATAGACTCAACAACCTCTTATAAATATTTTTGGCTTCTGTGCAGTATGAATTTGCTTTATTCTTAAGGAGCCTAGGTATGTTAAATCTATTGGTGAGAGTTTATTGAGGCAATATTGTCCAAAGCAGTATTGCTGGATCTTAGAAAATGAGCATACTAATTTGACTAGGAACTGTGCATATTGTGGTCAGGTTTATGCCTCCATGTGACTACTACATGATGATTCCTTTTTTTATTAAGTTTTCTGATTTCATCCAATTTGATAGATATTAATTGTACCTCCTAGTCTAATTTTGCCTCTTTTTGATTTCAGGTAAAGTTGAGCATCTCTTCATTTACTTAATTTAATTTTCCTTTTCTGTGAATTGGGTGTCCTCCCTTTCTCCTGTAAGAAGCTCCTTAAAAGAGTTCTTGTAGAGTTCCTTGTATATTCTAGAAATTAATCTCTTGTTACCTGTAGATATTGTAGCTGTTTCTCCTGGTATGTCACTTGCCTGGTAACTTTGCCTATGGTACATTTCATTAACTAACTAATAGCAAAACAACAAATCTTTAATTT